ATGTCAATATATTGCTTGAATCCACAATTAACACCCTTGGTACAGGGACCTCTCCAAAGTCCTGAAGAGCAGTAATGTCAGTTTAAGGACTAAGATGCACCTGATCCTAGCCATAGTCTTTCCAAGCACATATTATGTATGTGCTATCTGGACAATGAAAAAGGATGACAAGAGAAGAATTGAGTGACAATCCCATGGACTGCTGAAAGAACAAACAGATATGTCTTGGAGAAAGTACAACCAGAGTACTCTTTAGAAGCAAGACTGGAGAAGCTTTGTCTCACACACTTTGGGCATGCTGTTAGGAGAGGTTATTCCTTAGAGAAGGACACCGTGCTTGGAAAGGTGGAGTGTCAACCTAAGAGAGGAAGACCATTAGGAGATGGAGTAAGTGTCTGTGGCAGTGGGCTCAAGTGTTTTGGGGATAAGGATGTCACAGGATATGATGTCTCACCACAACAAGATAAAGGTAAATAATTCAATTGAAAAATGGTCATAGGATATGAACAGACACTTCACCAAAGAAGACATTCAGATGACCAACAAGCACATGAAGAAATGTTAAAAATCCCTAGTTCTAAGAGAGATGCAAATCAAAACAACTATGAGATATCATCTCACCCCAGTAAGAATAGCAAAATTTAACAGAACAGCAAGCAACAAATGCTGGCGAGGTTGTGGAGAAACTGGAAATCTTATTCACTGTTGTAGGAGTGTAAAAGGGTACAATCACTGTGGAAGGTGGTATGGTACTTTCTCAAAAAGCTGCAAATAGAGATACCATTTGACCAAGCAATTCCACTACTGGAAATATACCCCAAAGAGATCACAACTGACATCTAAGAAGATATATGCACACTCATGTTTATTGCAGCCTTGTTCACAACAGCAAGGAGTTGGAAACAACCTAAGTGTCCATCGACAAACGAATGGATACAGAAGCTGTGGTATATTCACACAATAGAATACTATGCTGCATTGAAAAACAAAGAACTCATGCATTATTATTCAAAATGGGTGACCCTGGAGGACATTATGTTGAGTGAAGTATCTCAGTCACAAAAGGATAAATATTGCATGGTGCCACTGTTGTAAAACAGGACTGACCTCAGGGTTTGGGGAGACTGAGAAAGATGGGTTCAATAATACATCCTGCATTGAAACAGATGAGGGAGAAAACTGTTTAAAAGGGATATGTGATTTATCATGACAGGAGTGCAGAGCGAAGGCTGCATGGTGGAGTGGATGTGGGGGAGGGATTGTAGAACAATGAAAGAATTTTTCTTTTACTTTTCCAAGAGGGTAGTGTACTGGGGGAAGGGTTGGGAGTGGAGAAAAGTGCAACAATGAATGAATGGAAATCCAAAGTCTCTGTAAATTTTCATTTAAATTAATAATAAATTAAAAAAATATATATGATGTCTGTTGAAAAAGCCAGATGTCTGCAGTTACTTCATCTGGAAGTAAAGAGTTCTAATTCTTTCCATTTGAGTGAACAGTATTTTTTTGAAAGCACACCAGTATAATGTCTCATCTACATTCTCCTGCCCCGAAAGAATGGGTCCTATGAGTTGTACTTGACTCAACAGTACTTAACAACAGCAGTGCCACTACTTAAGAATAATTTTCATATATAACCCTAGATTGGCAAAATAAGTCACACACCCCCCCAAAAAAATTACGGGTGTTACACATTTCCACTCACACCCATGTATGACCCAGAGGAATATCCAGAGATACCTCCTCACTATAGTTGCCAACCTTTTGCAAGCACTTTGTTAAAAAAAATTAATAAATCCACCCTAGAAAATGTGCATGTTGTTGTTGTGCATTGTTGAACCAGAATCAACTCATAGCTGATCTTCCAGCAGGTTTTCAGAGGCAGTAAATCATATAAGAGGAGACTTCCCACCTTACTGCCATGGAGCAGCTGGTGGGTTTGAACCATGTACCCTTGGGTTGGTAACATTAATTCCTTATGACTAAGCCACCAGAGTGATACAAGTCCTTAATCCCAGTAATAACTTGGGTTTCCAAAATAGATAGTTATAAATACATATGCAGCAGTTTCTCAACGTTTATAGAGACATTTGATTTAATTTTATCTCTAAAGATTTTGAGAGGAAAAGATAAAATAGATTTTTTTTTTACCCACACTTAATTGAATTGAAATGATTGGGATTGGAAAGGTCATATACTTCCATTTACGAAATGTTTTCTGTGAACAAGCTGACCTGTGAATTTCTCTCTGAAGATACAGACAAAATTAAATGTTTTATTGAACTAAATTAACGATGACTTCATAATCAGGGAAAAGAGATTCATAAAGGCTTTTATCACATGTGATTTGCCAATGTGTGGTATCTTTCCTTCAATTTCTTTCCAGAGGATTTAGTTTTCATTGAGGAAGGGCCAAACTTACAAAATTGTTATTCATGTCTGTTGGAAAAGCCATATGTCTGCAGTTACTTCATCTGGAAGTAAAGAGTTCTAATTCTTTCCAGTTGAGTGAATGGTATTTTTTTTAAAGGCACACTAATATAATGTCTCATCTACATTCTCCTGCCCAAAGCCACCGAAAGTACTAAGATGGCAAAATATATCATGAAGACTGTTCAACATTACTGGTATAATTTTCATTATGTTATAATCACGAATCCCACAAGGTTGAGGTTCTGCACTGGCTGATTCTTTTGGATATGACAAACAAAATTCAATTATATATTCACATAATTATCTTTTCCCAACAAAGAGAAGAGATAAAGTTTCTACTCAGAATCCCACAGGGTGAAGGAGAATCATACAACAGGGTGGGAAGTGAAAGGTTAAAAAAAAAGGTGCAAATATCCTTTGGACACCTTTAAAACGGAAGGAATGAATATATTTCTAAACAGAAATCATGAGACTCCCTCCGATCTTGATGTCATAATAAGCAGAAGACTCCCTAACAACCTGCATTATGTAGATGACACAACCTTATTTACAGAAAGTGAAGGTGAATTGAAGCACTTACTACATAAGATCAAAGGCTACAGCCTTCAATATGGGTTCCATCTCAGCATCAAGAAAACAAAAATCTTCACTACTATACCAATAGGCAGCCTCATGATAGATGGTGAAATGATTGAAATTTTAAATTATTTCAGTTTACTTGTACATACAATCAGCAGTGTAACTAATGACGTTGTTCTTGTTGTTATGTGCCATCGAGTTGCCTGAGACTCATAGAGACCCAATGTACAACAGCCCTAAACTCTGCTCTGTCCTGTGCTAGTCTCACTGTCTCCAACACACTCACTCCCACTACTCCAGTTACTGAATCAATCCACCTCATTGAGGGTCTTCCTCTCCTGCACTGTCCCTCCACCCTCCCAAGAATTTCATCCCTCTCCAAGGACTGGTCCCTCCTTTCAACATTATACAATGGTAATTATTATTAAGGAACAAAACAAGTATGAATGACTGAATGAAAAATAATTTTAAAATAAGAAATCTAAAACCATGTTGCATTGGGGAAATGTGCTATTGAGGACCTCACCAACGTGCTAAAGAGCAAGGATATCAGTTTACAGATTAAGGTGCACCTAAGCTAAGCCATGATATTTTCAATTCTTCCTATGTATCTGAAAATTGTAGAATGAATAAGAAATACTGAGAAAGAATTGATGGCTTTGAAATGTTGTGTTGGAGAAGAGTGCATTGCTAAAAGAACAAACAAATCTATCTTGAAGAAAGTTCAACCAGAGTGCTCTTTAGAAGCAAGAATGATGACATTTCAGTTCATACTTTGGGCATATTTTTAAGAGGAACCAGACTTTGAAGAGGGACATAATTCTGGGAAAGGAAGAGGATCAGCAAGAGAGGAAGACCCTTAAAGAGATGGACATATACAGTAGCTGTAACAATGGACTTCAACCTACATAGAAGAGACCATGTCACCCTCTTTGAAGGAAATTATGTGGAGTCACATTCACCTGTTACAACTAGAAGTGATATGTTATTCTTTTCCTAGTCCAGGAACTCTGGATTGAGTCCTGTCTGTGGAACTCTGCAAGCTAAGGGCCACATGGCAAAATGAATCACCAGCTGAAGCATCTCCAAAACATAATGATAAAGGGAGAAAAGACAGAGATGGGAACTTGTAAAAAATTATAATTCCCATTTTTAAAAGGACAAACTGTAGTATTAGGAGTCATGGGAGTGTTGGATGATTTGCTTTTTTACATCAAAGAACATGCAGATGGAAGTATTTTCCTTGTTCCTGGAACTTTGATGTACCAGAATTCCTGTCTCTTTCCCCCCATTATCCATGTCACATTTCTCTGGCATTTGACTAGGCTGCTGCCTGTTCTTCAGTTCCTTCAACTTAAGAATTGCTGAGCGAGTTTGGCCCCTTTGATTTTCTGATTCCAGCTCTTCGCACATTTCACTGTATAATATTTTACTTTGTCTTCCCACCCTGCCCTTTGAAATCTTCTGTTCTGCTCCTTAGGATCTTGATTTCTTCCCTTTGCTTTGGCTTCTCAGTGCTCTCGTGCAATATTCAGAATCTCTTCTGGCATTCATCTTGGTCTTTTCTTCCTCCTCTGTCTTTTTAATGACCCCCTGCATTCTTCCTGGATGATATTCTTGATATCCTTTCACAGCTTATTTGGTCTTCACTCTTTAGTGTTTAAGGCCTCAAACCTGTTCCTGAGATGGTTTTTAAATTCAGTTGGGATAGACTCAAGGTTAAATTTCTGTTACTATAAATTTGACTTAATTTTCCTTAGCTTCAGCTTGAACTGGCATATGAGTATTAGGTGGTCTGTCCCACAATCAGCACTTGGCCTACTTCTTAGCTGGTATAGAATTTTTCCAATGATTCTTTCCACAGATATAATCTATCTGGTGCCTATGCACACCACCAGGTGAAATCCATGTGTATAGCCTTCATTTATGTTTCTTATAAGAAGTATTTGCAATGAATAAATCATTAATTGTGTCAAAAACCCCAAAACATCTCCTGTTTGAAGAGCCACAGCAAGCGCCTCCCTACACCATAGCCGTACAGAATCGGAAGTGCTTGATGTCCAAGGAAAAGATGAAACATAAGTGTCTTGAGCATTTGTCTCATCCTTTCTGTTGCTTACATTGCCACTGGAACTAGTTTCTTTTGCTTCAGGGCTAGTCTGTGAAGTAATCATAGACTCTTTTTTCTTTTCTTCAGAATCTTGAACCATGGATAGCCCATCTCGTAACTTTTCCCAAGATTTGATGAGAAAATTTGCTAAAGATGTAACTTCTTCATCTGTACGCTGCTTTTGAATGGCATTAACTGACATTCCAATTCTCAGGGACTGTAATTCCAGGGTCATGGGAATATTCTTAAGCTCCTTCAGCAAATTCAATACTCCGGCCCCATTCTCCTTCTGCACCATCTTGTCCATCTTCTTGGCAATGCAGACCACCTCGTCCTCCATGACTCTGACCAGTCTTTCTCGTGCCCACTCAGGCCTGGGCGTGAAATGAGTGAGACTACAGTGGAGGGAGAGCGCAGGGTAGCTGCCATATGCCGGTGAGGACTCACGCATGACTACATTGCTACTGGAGCTGATGATGAAGAATTAGGGTCTCAGATTGAGAAAGCTACATATCAGGAAATAAGGAAAACTGACATGACGTCCAAAAGAGTACAAAGTATGATATCCAGTCTTAAGGATGTAAAGAATCCAAATTTAAGAGAAAATGCAGTGTGGAAACATTCCTCCAGACTTACTTGCTAGAATGACAGCAGAGAAAATGGCTAGTGATGAACTTAAAAAAGATGTGGCAAAACCTGACCAAAGAGGCCAGCTGAGAGCATCATATGGCCAAGACCAAGACAGGTGGCATACAAACTGACTTATTCATGTGTGGCAAATGCAAAAAGAAGAATTGTACTTATACACAGGTTGAAACCCATAGTGTTGATGAACCAATAACAGCATTTGTTGTTTGTATTGAATGCTGAAATTCTGTTAAATTGGTAGAAATTGTCAAGATGTCTGGACCATTAAGAAAAGAAATTTTGTAGTTAGCTTTAAAGCTAGGAAAAGCAGCTAGTTTTCCTGCAAATCAGATTTTTAAAGCAGCATTCATCATCCCTTGGGTTAGTCTTATTTTTCACCTATCATCCCTTCCTTAATTGCTTCTGTAGTTTCAGGTCAATAAGAAGACCATGCAATAATTGTATGGTATTTAGTTCCCAAAAAAATTAATTTCTCCCATTTTTCATTTATTTTTTTATTGTGAAAAACATGTACGGGAATACAAGGAGGTGAGGGTTGGGAGCAGAAGGGTGAGGATGGGCAGGGATCAGACTGCAGGGATACAGTTGGATGAGATGCAGTTGTATGGGTGCACAATTTGGTTGGTGGGGGAGCAGGTGAAGGAAATGAAAAGGATACAGTGGGGACCAGATGATACAGGGCAATGGTAATCATAGTCCAATGGTGATTAAATAAACTGCCTTATTCACTTGTGGGTTTCTCATTTGGGAATGGGGCACCGACTCTCTGGTTTCCTCATGGTGAACAGGGGTCTTGATGTGAAGGGGAAAAGGGAGCACACTTTATCACCTTACTGGTGGTCCTGGGTTAAAGCTGCTTGCCTTCGTGCTCTGTTAGAAGATATTTTCCTG